GCACTTCTACACGTCCATTGTTGAGTCCATTCTCCATTGTAGCCTCTCACCCTGGACAAAACTGTTTGTCTCTCCAGACTCCATCAGGCTGGTTAACGGGTCTAGTCTGTGCTCAGGCAGACTGGAGGTGAGGTCTAACCAGTCTAACCAGTCTAACCAGTGGTCCTCAGTGTGTGAAGAGGACTTTGACCAGCAGGATGCAGAGGTGGTCTGCAGGGAGCTTGGCTGTGGGGCTCTTTCAGTCCTCCAGGGGGCGCTCTATGGAGAAGTGGAGGCTCCAATGTGGCCCAAAGAGTTCCAGTGTGGAGGCCATGAGTCTTCCCTCCTGTACTGTAGAAGCTCAGGCTCAGAGAGAAACACCTGCTCACCTGGTAAAGCTGTAGGACTCACCTGCTCAGGTAGATGAGGAGCTTCAGCTTTGATCTGGTTCATTTCTGTTCTACTGAAACTCACTTTGTTCTTCTACTGATGACTCTCTTGTTTCTGTTCAGAACCTGTGAGGTTGGTGGGAGGAGCCAGTCGCTGTGAAGGAACACTGGAGGTGGAATATCAAGGAGAATGGAGACCAGTAGATTACTACAGATGGAACCTGAAGGTAGCAGATGTTGCCTGTAGAGATCTGGACTGTGGCTCTGCTGTTTCTATCAGAGACAGAGAGGAGTCCTCAGAGAGATCTGTGTGGTGGATTCCCTCTGACTGTGTTCAGTCTGGATCTGCTGTGAGGGACTGTTTACTGCCAAGATCCTCTTCCTCCATCATGGATCTCACCTGCTCAAGTAAGTTCATCAGAGACATCATCAATGTACTGTCTATCTGTCTGTGACATCTCCTTTAATGAAGGGTAAACTGTTATCATCTCTTTGTTACAGAGCTGCTGTTTCAGCCAATCATCTCTGTGTCCTCCTCCATGTACGGGGTCTCAGAGGCCCAGCAGCAGGGGGCTCAGGTGCTCAGGGGCTCCACCTTCACCGTCTGCTGCTCCATCCAGCCACAGTACCCAGGAGGCTCCTTCCAGCTCACCTCCCTCTCCTTGAACTCAGCGCACAACTACACCAAGCCAGCTGTCAATCACTCTGCCAACTTCCTGTTTCCTGCTGCAGAGCCCGCCCACCACGGAAGCTACAGATGTGTTTATCACCTCTATGTTTTTTCTCATGACTTCTCCTCTGAGAGCCGTCTGCTGCGTCTCTCCGTCGAAGGTAAGCTGACTGTTTACATGCCGGTTAGTGGGAGATGATTGGTTCAAACTGGAGATGATCAGCTGACCACAGAGAACTTTGTGACTTATTGTGTCACACACGTCAAATAGTAACCAAACCTAAACAACAACTATAAAGGGAGACAGCCAACAGTATGCTGTAAGACATGTTTGGTTACCATGGTAACTCTGGTCCTCTGAGAACTGAAGCTAACGCGACTTCATGGTCTCAGTCTCTAGTTTTAAGTCTTCTTAAACACAGCGTGATGTTCATTTAGTAAATCATGGTCCACGTAGAGGCAAACAGACCATAAAGCAGGGGATGCTTATGGGCGGGGCTACACGCTGATTGACAGGCCTCTAATAGACCATAAAGCAGATTAACAGTTCAAACAGCGAATATGAAGCCAACACGGATATAACAGTGATTGCAGTGTTTGGTTCCGTGGGAGCTGTTGGACTCATGATGTCATGTGATCACTCTCCATGTGTGTGAGCAGATCCAACACCTCTCATCATCAAAGCGGTCCTCCTGCCTCTGATGCTGCTGTGGGTGAACGTTGCCCTCTACCTCTACTGTAAGGTACGGACACACGTCTGCCGGACCACGCGAAGCTCTCGCTCTGTGACCAGTCAACTGAAGGCAGGTGCTGTCGTGTCTCTCCAGACCACCAGGGGGCGGAAGCTGGACAGACAGGAGGACTTTGAGCTGGATCATCGTCACCTGGGTGTTCCTGCAGCTGAAGAAGAAGGAGCTCAGGGAGCAGGGTAGCTCCTCCAAGGAGCTCACCTCACATCCGGATGGATTTGTATCACACAACCAGCACCGGCTCACTTTCACACGCATGTTTGCTTTCAACAGGAAGGCTGGAATATGACGTGACTTTATCAGTGTTTCTTCCTCTCAACAATGTGTTCTTCTGACTTCCTGTCTGTGGCTCTCAGCTCAAAGCCCATTGGTTCCTGCTTTAAAACACTTCACAGGTACAGAGTCTAATAAACTACACCTGAGATCAGGTTTAGCAGAGTACATATCAATATAAACATGACACAGGGCTCTCAAGTGAAGGAATCCACTGCCACTGTTACTCTTTGTTATTATTCATGAATGTACTTTTTTAAAACTTTCTTTCTAATTACAGGGTTACACTTAAAACTGGAGCAATTTGATCATTTTGTAAATAAGGAAATTTATTTCATTATGTTTTTGTTTATTTTTCTTCATGACCTTACTTACTTTAGTATACAATTTGTTTTAATTAAGGATGTTGCCTTTTTCAAAAGAACATTTTGTATTTAGCTTTTTAAATGTAAAGGATTTCACTCAATACTGTTTATCAGAATATTTCTTAATTTTGACCTTTGTGATTTACTTGATTTTGTCTTAAAGGAATTTCAAAATGTTGTATAAAAAAAGAATATAATAACATTTTAAATAAAAAATTAAATCATTAGTATTCTGTTTATTTCTGTTAGTAATGACTTTTTCATTATAATTGTGCTTATTGTGGTTTTTAATTCATAATATTATGTTATTAAGAGTTTTTCTGATGAATAACACATACTTGTGTTCCACAGATACATTTAATAGTAGTACCACTCTAACAAAGTACTTTAAGAGTTGTCTGAATGAGGACAAGAGGACAACTCGTGACCTTTAATCACCAAAACCAGACTTTTACCTCACATGTGCACACGTGTGTTCTAACATGTGACAAGCATCAGTGTTCATGTCTCATCACACAAAGAGATCACTTTGATAAATGTGTCACCTGGAAACTAAACCAGTTTATAAACATGAAACTAGACAATGAGAGGCATTTAAAAGCTAAAATCAGAGCTAAATAAATCTCTACGTGACACCGTAGTGTGTCTGTGTGTGTGTGTGTGTTCTTCACAAGCACCCATGATGTATTTCTACACGCTAGTAACGATACATTTATAATCAGTTACAACATTTAGGTTGATTGTGTCTCCACCGCCAGGGTCCCTTTAAAAAACTCTCATTCGGGACTAAACTCAGCGATGTGACCTTTGAACCCCGGACCTCCAGCAGCTCGTTGCAATAAGCCTTTTTTCTCTGGAGTTTTCTGAGGCCGTTTGGAAAATGTGACGTAAAAGTGAAAGAGGACTACAAAGGGGCCCCGTGGGCCCTTTAGAGGCTTAATGTGGCCCCGAGCGCAGAGAAGCAGACAGAGCCGACCCCAGTGTGTTTTTCATCCATAACTAAAACTAAGGCGTCATATAGATTCTATAAGCTGGCTCCCTACTACATCCTTTCCAAAGGGAAATGCCGCCCTTTTAAAAAGGAATATTTTTGAGAGAGAGCTTTTGTCGGAATACGGAATTGCTCTGCGACACCCGTAACCCTTTTAGAGCCATGAATTGAAAACCAGTGCATCGATACAACGTGAAAAGCTACAGACGCAGTTGCAGAAGCAAGGGAGACGCCATCCACCCTCCTGAGGAAACCCATTTTGGCCGCTTGTACCCGTGACCTAGTTCTTTGGGTCGTGACCCATCCTTCATGACCGGAGGTGAGGGTAGGAACGAAGACTGACCGGTTGAGCTTTACGGTGCGGAAAGGCGAGTGCAATGCGGCCTCAGATCAGACGATACAATCACAAAACCGATCATCGATCTTTGGCCTCGGGTGTTCTGGCACCACGTACACTTATGCAGATCCTCATGTTCCAACATGGTGTTTGTTATGGACAAGCCGTGACTGGCACAGAGGTCCAGTAACAAACGGCCGCTCGGGTTCAGATCAGGGAGATCCAGTCATCTCCACCGTCGCCCACTTTTGTCCACCGGGGTGAACGCCGATGTAGCAGCACTCAGCCGGGGACTCGTGGGTAGCCCCAAACCCGCCTGGCGCCTCACAGCCAGGTCGATTCCAGACTAGAGTCCATCCCCTATCCAGGAGTGTGGTTCCAGAGGCGGAACCCAGAGCCAGCATCTGCCGCCCAGGTCTGTTCCGTCTCGACCCCCCGCTGTCGGCTTCCCCCACAGGTGGTGAGCGCTTGGGGAGTAGAGTTTTGGGGCGCCACGTGCTGTACCCCGGCCGGGCTCCAAGCCCACCAGACGCTCGCTGCCGGGCCCTCCTTCTGGGCCTGGCTCCAAATGGGGGCCCCGGGCTTCCTGCAGGCCGGGTGGCTCCTTCCCTGTTCCGCTTTCTCATAGTGTCTTTTTAACCATTCTTGGTCTGGCCCCTCGCCTGAGACCACTTTGCCAAGGAAACCCCAGCAGGAGCACAAGGCTCCCGACAACACAGCCCTCAATGTTGAGACAATCTTTCATTATTCTCAGATACTAATTCATCATTTAAAGTTAGGATTAGGGCTTCCATGCCTCTTTGTTTCAGTGGTTTGGTTTAAACATTTATATAAAACATTTAAACTCTGGGGGTCAGTGGAGAGCAGGTCGTCCTCCAATCAGAGGGTTGTCGGTTCGATCCCAGGCTCTGCTAACCCGCATGTCGTTGTGTCCTTGGGCAAGACACTTAACCTAACATGCTCCTGTAGCTGCGACTACAGTGACTGATGGCAGGTGTCACTGTGTGTGGTTCTCCTGTCGTCAGGGTGTGAATGATGTCATGTAGTGTTAAAGCGCTTTGAGTGGTCAGAAGACTAGAAAAGTGCCATACAAGTACAGTCCATTTACCATTTACCATGTGAGTCAGTGAAATAACACCCGGCTAAATTTACGAATTGACAACAGAAACTTTAAAAAGGTTTGAAGTTTTTCTTGCTCAAGCATGATTTTGATGGTACACACAATTAGCATCACACAAACTCAACTAGCAAAACACCTCAGATTATTTGCAAAATGAAACACTCTTGTAAAAACTCCATACACTGAAATTAGTCAACACAGAGATTCACAACAAGAAACAAATCCCACTTTGCAGGCATCAAACAACATCCGGTGCAAAAATAAGGAAAAAAAATAGATCTAGAAAAAGCTGAAAATAGAGTAAAGAAAATGCTTTGCGTTGTCTCTTCGTCTAGCTGGATCTGGCCTCCTCCTCCTCCTCCTCCCTCTCATCCTCCCTCTTCCTTCCTTCACTCCCTCCGGTTGAACAGGTGAACTGCGCTGCTGCATCTCATGGTGCTTAAAGCTGATTGGTGTGTCCACAATTAAGTGACCTTGCGTTAGAGCACCTGATGGCTGAGTTTAACCAATTGGCACATGGGTTTGGTAATTTCACTATCAGTGCTTGAGTGACATCTTGATATACTTCTGTGTGTGACGTGTGTTTAGTGTTTTGCAAACCACTGTGTGTATTGTTTTACAAACAGTGTGAGGCTGACTTTGTGCTCATAGTGGTGCAACTGTGGGCCGAGTTTTGCTCTTTGACTGTACGGTTCGGATAAAGATACTTTTGATTTTACGGGATATTAAAAAAACCTGTAAAGTGTATGACGTCACTATGATGTAATGACATACTTCTGCCACACGGAAGAGCTACAGGGCTCATTTACGGTCATCACGCTCCAATAAAGACTCACAAAGATGTACTCACAGTACAAGTAATCTTAGTACAGTAGAATGTACTCAAAGTACTGGCACTCACAGAGCAGTAAAATAGACTCATAATACTCACAGAGCAGTGAAATATACTCATAAAACTCAACGTACAAGTGCTCATAGCGCAGTAACATGTACTCATGTATAGAGGAAAGTATACATAGTAATACAGTATATACTTTATTTCCTCTATATTATATACTTTTACTTCTACTTAAGCTTTCAGGGAAAAGATGTAGACGTTTTAGCCGTGTTATCTTCATAATGCTCAAACGTTCATCTCGTTTGGACTTCATTATTTCTTCATTCTTGTCCCCTCCACCTCTTCCTCGCTGCCAAGCCGCTGACGTCATGCTCCGCTGTTAATGATTAGCATATGGAAACGAGGAGCGCGCGCCTCTCTGCGTCAAGGCGGCCGTAACCGCGCCGGAAGGTGACGTTGTTCCGCCTTCAAAATAATAGTTATGTTAAGATTGAACGCAGCGGGAGAACTCACACATCTTACAACGATGTGGAAATAGTTTGCTATTTATTCTGCGTGTAAAAAAAATTCTAAAATGATTAGCTAAATCTAAATGTAGTTGTAGAGCCCAAACTATATACCTAAAATGCCCTTTACAATGTAGTGGAGTAGTAAAGGAATCATTCAAGTAAATAGTCTTACCTAGTAGTAGTAGCAGTATCTCAAAGTTGGACTTAAGTACACTATTTACATAAATGTACTCACTTACTTTGAAGCAAAGGTACACTGTGAAAAAAGTACCCTTGGTGGAAAGATGAATATGTCCTGATGATTATTTTATTTTATATAACCACATATGTCAAGGAGAAACATTATTATTGAACATTGTCATGATCAAATCAAATGTATAGGCGTTTGTTCAAGCACTTTAAATATATATCTATTTTCAGTAACTGCTTATCGAAACTAGTGCAGTGCTCTGCATCTACATACTTGACTGATCATTACTGTTAACCAGGATATTTGTAAGATATTTACTATTAACCTATTTACATTCCTATTATTATGTCTTCATAATGTATTTTCTCATATAGTATATTTTATCTTTACTTATTCACATTACAGAAGTACAATATTCCAGCCTAAACGATGACAGTTGTGCATGAAACTAAAGTTGTAGGAGCTGATCTCAACTAAATTAAGTGAAATTCTTTTCTGACATTTCGCTCTCGCCGCCCTGCCGTACTTTACTGTGAAGGCTCAAACCGGAAGTCCCGCTGCGCTTCCGTTCGTCTTGACCGCGGGGCTGCAGACCCGCGAGAGAGAGTGAGGGAGAGAGAGCGAGAGAGAGAGAGAGAGGAAAAGTTACTCAAGATGGCAAATCTCTCGGAGCCGGAGTGAAGGGGCCCCGCTCCTCGAAAATAAGACAAAGACGAGAGGAGCCCGTCGCCGGTACCGAGACGAACCAACGATGCGAACCGCTCCAGCAGGTAAGAACCGCCGACCGCTGCGGGGAACCGTTGCTCCTCTGCGACGATTCAACCCCTCAAACTGAAGTTCATCAAAAAAAAAGAAAAGAAAAGAATCCCGTTGTTTGGTTCACTCTTCTTTCCTGCTTCAGTTTTTAGTCCGACAAAGAAAACGCCAACATAGTCTGGATGTCTCCCAGCACCAGACTCCATGTAAAAAACACACATTTATAGACCAGTACTAACACACACGGCTATATTTGTTTGTTTCATGAACACCACACACACACACACACACACACACACACACACACACACACACCACACACACACACTAGTGGTGTTTGCTCAGTGCTGATGAAGCAGAGTGA